CGGATCTCTGTGAGTTCGAGGCCAGCCTGGTCTCCAAAGCGAGTTCCAGGAAAGGTGCAAAGCTACACAGAGAAACCCTGTCTCAAAAAACCAAAAAAAAAAAAAAAAATTTGGCAGAGAGTGTCATTCTGTTTCTCAAGATGGCATGTACTCATGACACTAATACTGCCTGCTAGTTTAGAGTCATTGGATAGCAGGTGTATGACCTTCTTCCTGCCTGTTGTGTTTTGGTTGAATTTTTAAGTGAATATGAATATTTTACCTGTATGCATGGATATACATGGGAACCTGGTCCTCACAGTGAACAAATGGTCTTAGAAACCCTGAGGTTGGAATAATGGCTAGCTGTGATCTCCCATGTAATCAAGGGCAATTGAGCACACCTCCATGCAAAACAAGCAAGAGTTCTTTGCTGCTATACCATTTATCCTGTCCTGTGTTGATTATATTTGATCAACATTTAAATTTCTAAAAAGTTTTCATCTGTCCATTTATAACTGTTACAATGTGCAGTGCCTTTTATCAAAATCTTATTGATGTTACGATTTGAACTGGACACTTCATGTTCTTGAAGATGAAAACAGAACTGTAATGAATCCAACACTCTTTTAAGGAACTTCAGTAAAAACCTCTGAGTTTCTTCTCTCTTTTTTGTTGATTTTTGCATGGAAGACAAGGTTTTAATGTATAATTCTGGCTTTTCTGAACCTGATTTCTTAGACTAGACTTCTATTCAACTCAGAGGAAGATATAGCTGCCTCTGCTTTCTCAGTGCTTGCGTTAAAAGTATGAACATTACACCTACTCTACCCATCCTACTTTTCTTTTCTGTATTTCATAATTATTCATATAATTTCACTCATGTGTACTCTGTACTGTTGATCCATTTCATGTACTCTATTTTAATAGGCATTTCTCTTGCAAAGTAATATCTCATTCAAGGGGTACAGAATTGACAGAGGTAAACCTCTAATTTAGTTTTCATCTAAAGTGACTTGGTGATTATATCACAATATCTATGTTATGAAATATTGTGGGAGTATCAGAATTATATAACTACACTGTTGCACACATGTATGGGATGTTTTAGAATGCAGTGACCTATGATGATGTGCATGTTGGCTTCACTTGGGAAGAGTGGACTTTGCTGGATCCTTTCCAGAGGAATCTCTACAAAGATGTGATGCTGGACACCTACTGGAACCTTGCTACTATAGGTAAGACTGAAGATTCCTTCATGTTTTAAAATAAGGGGAAAATAGTTCCTTGGTTATTGAGTCTCTTCTGTAATTTGATTGAGAAAGGAGAATGAGGTGAATAAATCAGTCATGCTTCAAAGAGTCACTGAAGATAGTAACTTAAATTTTGTACAGTTTCCAGTAAAATATTATGCATTTTCTGATACTATATTTTAGGGTACAGTTGGAGAGACAATACTACTGATGAACATTTTCAAAGTTCCAGAAGACATGAAAGGTAATTGTCTTGTGCAAATTGATAAAAATGCCCCTGTGAAGAAATTGTAATGTGTTCTGGAAGTATTAAACAAATGCAACAGTGTAAATAAGCACTGCTTGAAGTGTGTTGGTGATTATTAAATTCTTGCAAAGCATATACCTCAATTTTAAGTAGGTGAATTGCATTTGCAAGGCATTCTTTTAAGAAAGAAGACAAGGGAAAATGCCTCAACAGCTATCAACTCTTGAAACATTGCACCATGAGAGCTATGCTGTAGGACTGTAAACCCATTTATTTTATCCTACTCATATTACAAAATTAATAATCAGTGAAGAGGTGAGATGTATATCTCAAAAAAATTCTAGTAAGCAGAGTCCATAGTCAAGATAGTATTGCTCATATACTTATTGTGACTGTGCTGTTTAGTGAGAGGGGCAGTTAGAGTCAATAGTCAAGGGGCATTGTCATGGAGAAAGGTTAATCCCTATTATAAGTCTATGAGGACAGGAAGTCAAACTGAATTCATTGTGAAAACCTTTTATTTGTCATTGTTCCTTTACTAGGTATATCATTTTCACTCTGGATACAAGACATATGAGCACAAGGATATGGAAAGACATACTATACCTCTCTCTCAGACAAATTAGAAGGTATGTAGCCATCCCCACATTGAATATATTGGTTGAATTTGATGCAGGTATACAAGAAATTGTTTTTCTAGCTTCATTCAAATACCAACAAACTCACATTACAGAAAATCCCTAAGAGTACTAGGACTGTGTAAATACAACATGAGTGTAAACATTGTGATAAAACCTAAAGTTCTGTTTCCTTTTATAATATGATAAAATTGTAAAAATAATTTATATATATCATCTTCACAGGCATGAAAGAACACATACTGGAGAGAAAATCTTTGAATGTAATCAGTGTTGTAAAGCCTATAGTCATCAGAGTAGTCTTCAGAGGCATAAAAAAAAAACTCATACTGGAGAGAAACCCTATGAATGTAATCAATGCAGTAAAGCCTTTGTTTATCACAGTAGTCTTCAGATGCATAAAAAAACACATACTGGAGAGAAATCCTATGACTGTAACCAATGTGGTAAAGCCTTTGCACAGCATGGTAATCTTCAAAGGCATGAAAGAACACATACTGGAGAAAAATTATACATTTGTAATCAGTGTGATAAAGCCTTTTCAAAATACATTAGTCTTCAAGTGCATAAAAGAAAACATAGTGGAGAGAAATCTTATGAATGTAATCAATGTGGTAAAGCCTTTGTTCATCACAATATTCTTCGAAGGCATGAAAGAATACATACTGGAGAGAAACCCTATGAATGCAATAAATGTGGTAAAGCCTTTGTTCATAAGAGTGGTCTTCAAGTACACAAAAGAAGACATACTGGAGAGAAACCCTATGAATGTAAGCAATGTGGCAGAACCTTTGCACAATATGGTCATCTTCAAAGGCATGAGAGATCTCATACTGGAGAGAAACCCTATAAATGTATTCAGTGTGGTAAAGCCTTTGTGCGTCAGAGTCATCTTGAAATGCATAAAAGAACACATACTGGAGAGAAACCCTATGAATGTATTCAATGTGGTGAAGCCTTTCACAACAAAGTAATTTTCAAATGCATGAAAGAACACATACTGGAGAAAAGCCCTATGAATGTATTCAATGTGGTAAAGACTTTGCAAAGCGTGGCAGTCTACAAATGCATGAAAGAACACACAGTGGAGAGAAACCCTATGAATGTAAACAATGTGGTAAAGCCTTTGCACAGAGTGGTAATCTTCAAATGCATGAAAGAACACACAGTGGAGAGAAACCCTGTGAATGTAAACAATTTGGTAAAGCCTTTGCACAAAAGAGACATCTTCAATTGCATGAAAGAACACATACTGGAGAAAGAATCTAATTATGTGGTAAAGCATTTGTATCACAGTCATCTTCAAATTCATGAAACAACACATACTACAGAGAAACCCTATGAATGTATTCATTATGATAAAATCTTTGCCTATCCAAATCATCTTCAAATGTATATCAAAAACATACTGGAGAGAAACCTTATGAATGTAATTAGTGTTATAAATTCTTTGTATTTATCAGTAATCTTTGAAATCACGAGAAAAAAGACATATTGCAGAAAAACCTTAAAAATATAGTCCGTGTGGTAAGGTATTGCATATTATACAGGAGTAAAACTTTTGTGTGCATCCCATCTCTTAAAGCCTTTGCTTATCACAATAAACGGTGAGTACCTGAAAATGATGCTTTTGGCTGTTTATTATAATGTATTTAGGAAGATCTTTAACCCACGCACTTACAGCCAATCACACAACATTATTTATTCTGTAGAAAATAAAAGTTGACAGTTTCAACAAACTGTTCAAGCATTATGATCTCCACTTTTATACAGTTTGGCCCAGCTATCTCAAGGGGAAAATGAATTGATGAAGCACTATGTAGAGTGTAAGGGCCAGCTAAAGAACCAAACTTTGTCCCTGAATCCAGAGCCAGTGTGAGATACACTGTGGTCCTGAAACCAGAGGCATAAATTAAGAGGGACCAAGTGAAAGAAACACTTCTTCCCTGAAACCACAGCCAATGAAACACACTCTAGCTTTGACCAACTGAGCCCAAAACAAACCAATCGATGAGCACAAAATGTAGCCTAACTCTGAGATAGCTCAAGCACAGGCATTGAAATCCAATAATTCCCACCCTGTAGATGTAACCAACAGTCTTATTAAATAAGAAACACAGAAC